CCCGAAGAAGGAATATGCAAATATGTACCATTATGTGTTTGTTAAAGAATTGCTAATGGAGTTATTTGTTTATTATCTCAGTCGGTAATGATGATTTAAATGTTATTGAAACACATAGAGAGCTTGGTGATATCAGCTCATGCCGAAAGACGAAGTTTTGAAATAAAAGACTTGGAAATCCAAGTATTGTCTCGACCTGAAGATCGAGCTTCTCCTTGAAGAAGTTTTATACACCAGTTAGCCTACTTGAAAAATATCTTGAAGATGTTTTATATAGACAAGTATTATTTACTTATCACATAAACGGTTGTCCAATAATCTCTTGAAGTAGATAAATGACCATTTAGACTCGAAGATTATAATGAGGATATTTAGGGACTGGAAGTCCATTACTTCATTGCTATTGGAGCACTATTATTGAACTAGAAGTTCCATAATCGCATCAGGCCTGATATTGAATTTGCGATGAAATTGCTAGCAACATTTAGTGTTTCCCGCTACAATGAAAGTTGGAATGGTATTTAACATATCCTCCAGCACCTTCGAGGTACAAATATTTTGACGTTTATGTGAGAAACCCATATGTGGTTTTGATGGGCAACTTGGGCACTGGTTCTTTTATTTGATCCATATGATGCCAAGTCCAAAACTGGTTATGCTATATTTTTACCCCAATGTCCCATATGAGGACAAATAAGATTGTGTTGCACAAGCAAGTAATAGTTTTGTTAAGGGGAACCTTACAAAACATGTTGCACTTAAATCCTTCTACACACATGAACTCTAGAAGAGTTGTAAAATTCTTGTTGCGAATGTTTTCCCCACTAAACAATCTTGCAGATATGTTCACTAAGTCTCTGCCTACATCCACTTTTGAGTAATATGTTTATAAAATTGAGATGCGTAGGCTTAGAAGATTGTTATCTTCAGGGGGAGCGACAAACCCTAGTTGTTCTAGAATGGACAATCTAGAGGACTTTTGATATCCTGAAGATTATGCTACGAAAGCATATGGTTGTACTCTTTTTCCCTTAGCTAGGTTTTTTCCACAGGGTTTTCTTAGCTAAGGTCTTTAATGAGGCAACCGATGTTGGTGCACTTGAGTGGACAGTCCTGAAGACTCTTGAAATCTTGAAGATTATGCCCAGAAGGCTTATGGTTGTACTCTTTTCCTTGGCTAAGTTTTTTCCCACTGGGTTTTCTTAGGCTAAGGTTTTTAATGAGGCAACCGGTGCAACACATGGATCAACATACTTCGTGTACTCTTTTCTTCGTCTAGGTTTTTCCCACTGGATTTTTCTAGCGAGGTTTTTAACGAGGCATGAGTATAGTTATTTAATGGCCAAGGGGGAGTGTTATAAATATTTTATTAGTGGCCATTAATCTTGAGACTCTCCATTTTCCTTCTACTTAATATATTGTTTATGTTAAGCATATGAAGGGTTGTATGGATTAGTATAAATACATGTGAAGGCTTAATGAAATGAAATGCTCATGTTTGTGCTCTACATCTTGTGTCATTCTTCTCTTCTTACATCTCTAGAATTTATAATCTTATATATATAATCTCCGGGCAATTACCGTGTAATTATCACGCAAGAACCAACAAGTTAATAGGCCGAATTACAACACTTTATTTATTTTTAAACCATAGTCCACACAATAATGATTAGCCTTCATTACCACCTCCTCGGGCCAACATGTCTCTTTAACCCCTATCCCACCTCTTCCCATACTTGGACCACCATGACTCCTCTTGTCCTCTGCCTCTAGCCCACCAAGACTCCTTCTTATGCTTGGACCATCATAATTCCTCTACCTCTAGCCCACCAAAACTTCCTTCCCAGGCAAATTATCCTATGGACTAGGGTCCACTTTGTATTGTAGACTCTAGTCTAAAATGATAATCAGATTTTGTATCTGTAATTAACATATTATGGGTCTATAAATAAATTGAAGGTACATAATATGTTAACTGCATGCACATAATATGAAGTTAACATATTATATATATGCAGTTAACACATAATATGTAGTTAAAATATTATTTATCTACAGTTAATAAATTATGTGCACTCAATTTATTTACAAACACATAATATGTTAACAACAGACACAATTTTTGAACCAAGGTCTACAATGCAAGTTAGACCATGGTATAACAATTGTTCTTCTCATACTTGGGCCACCATGAGTCCATGACTTCCCTTCCTCTAGTCCACCAAGACCTTTATGTTTCTTGGCAAATTTTTATGTGAACCACAGTAGTCTATGGACAATAAAAAAAAATACATTTTAATATATTAAAAATATATTATTTGAATACTGAAAATATATTTCTTGAATATAAAGTAATTTTTAATATACTAAAAGTGCATTATTTATATACTGAATATATATTATTTGATAATATACAAAATAATGTATTTTCAGTATTCAAAAAATATATTTTTATTTGTGGTCGATATAATAATGATGGATTCTTCTTGGGTCAAGCCAAACCTTTCTAATAAAAGAGGCTACACGGTCCCATGGCCCTATCATGTACAAAAAGAAAAGGATAAAAGTAAATTTAATTAAGTTGAAAAATTTTATAAAGTTAAAAAAGTATGTGTTTGGCTTAATGTTGCTACATGCACCATGATCCACAATGTAACTATTGGTTTAGGTATACGTCCATCGTAGGATACAACAAACATCTAAAGCATATATATATTTTTTTATTATTATTACTAGTTACCATGCGCGCATTGTGCTAATGAATAGTTCAATGCCCAATATGTATTTTTAAATTAGTGTTTTAAAATTTATCAAAGTATTTTTCAGTATCCTGGTGTATATCAATGCAAGATTATCAAAATTTTAACAAAAAGTAAATATTTTAAGAATTGCATAACTATGACATGTGGCAGAAATGTTGGATTAACTGGTGCGATAATAGTTTTAGAGGGAAGCACCCTAACTGGATAGTACCCTAAGCATAGTTTTTGCAACACAAAACCCTATTAATTGGCGTGATACATGCTTCCTCTTATTGCCACTTCCGCTAGAAATGAATTATTGATTTGATCTAGTCTCCTGGTGTGCTTCACTGCAATTTTAGTGCCTTAGGGCAGTGCACCTTAAAAAACATAACCAAATCCTCATTCACTAAAAAGACAATGATAATAGGCATAGTTTCTCATTTGTGTAAAATGTATATTGTAAATTAGTTGTACCGTTTCATCAATGCATGCCCAATGCGTGATTCTAATTCATTGACCAAAGTTTATGTTAAATTTTATATTATATTTAAAAAAAAAAAAAAAAAAAAACCATCAAAGTGAACTATTATTGCGAAACCAAATCACGAATACAATGAGGGATATATGTGCCTCACACCTCCCGACTAGTATACGACTAAGAAGCTCTGGCCAGAGAGTGAGTAATCACATTAACTGTTATATTGTATTTTTTTAATACACTCTAACATATTCATAGTATATATGTTTAACAATCATGTCAATATTGATTGGGATGAGGTTCGAACCTAAGACGTTCCTTATGAAAATCAATGAGTAAGTTAAGAATAATAAATAGTTAATAGAATATTCGGTAGCTAAAGTTTACACAGATGGAATACAGGGGTATTTAGTAAAAGTAAATGATATAATAGAGGGTAAGTTGTAAAAATAATTTTAAAAAAATACTAACATCAAAATAATATGAATGGTTCATATTTCAACAAATAATTACACCAATATTTTTTAGTTCTCGTTAGGAGCCTAACTTTTTTACATCTTATTAGGTTTGTAGATGTAAATAGAGCATATTAGGCAGTTGTTGTAATGTAAAAATAGAAACTTAGAAGAGCATTCATATAGTAGTCAAAAAAAAATTTGTGGTTTTCTACGTCTCACGTAGGAGTGAGAAAGGGAGGGGAAAAAACAAAAACAAAAAAAAAAATGCAATCTAACAATTTAAAAAAAAAACAAAACAAAACAAAAAAAAAAAAACAAAACAAAACAAAAATAAGTTTTTTAGTCAAAGTGGTTGCCAAATGGCGGTCAGGTCATTTTGACGCGTCCTAATGAGCACGTGTTTCACATGCGCCCGCTTGGACGCAAAGAGAGCTTAATTTTTTCTCATATTAACTATCATGTACCATGCCACCACACAACACATATATTCAATTTTTTATTGTCTATTTTGTACTAGTGTCCAAAGTAGTACTCCGTGTATATTATTTCAATCTGTTTTGTACTATCAGTTTGTGGTTTTGGTATTGCAAGATTTGACATTATAACAGTGAAATTTTATTACTAGATAGTACACTTCTGAAACGAGTTAATTTTATTTTTGGTCTTATAAATTTATAGGTGACAATTTACTGTTAGTCCTTATTTTCCAGAATATCCCTTTTGATCATAATATTATTTTAACATAACCTATTTGTTGTCTTCTATCAACAAAATCATTGAAATTCCATAACATACAATGGTATTTAGGTTTTCAATTATGAATTTTTTTCAAGAAAATAAAAATAAAAATATAACGATCAACTCACATTGTATAAAAAAGATCGAAATATTCTTGTATTTAACGATATTTCAACTATTTTGTTAACTAAAGATTAAAAATGGCCATGCTACAATAATATTAGGACAAAAAACGTTCAATTCTAAAAAAAAAAAAAAACTAAAAATAAAATGTCACATATAAATCTAGGATAAAAATTAGAATGAACTCTTTTGAAACTGTATCCGAATTATAGTGCAATGGCATTAGTACCATACGTACTAAAATTATACATATATAAGTATATCGATATGGTATGAAAGAACGATCATATCTACTACCTAAAACCAAATAGAGAAATTACGTGAAAGTTTTGGGCAGTTGAAAGATAAGACATTAAAATATAAGTTGCACGCGAAACTAAATGTTGTATGAAGAAGCAAGCTAGCTAAGGGGTGATTGCATTTTGACTATAAATTTGCATTATACTGTAGAACCTCTGCATTCGATCTCATCCTACGTTGGAATTGAAGCTACATATATTATATATAATTCATTTGTTCATTATCGATCTTATAATAACCTCACTTCTCTCATCATCACATTCACACATCATTTATTTATTTGGGATTTGGTGTTGAAGAATTGTGAGTAATGGGAAATATCCCTACTTTGCCTATTGATACCACTTTCAAGCTTCCCTCCCCATTACCCACTTGGCCATCAGGTAAATTATTAACTACTTTTAGTTTTTATAATATTACTTATTTGGGCCTTATGCAAGGTTAATTTTGATACCAAATTATACAATCGATGAAGGTCCACCTTACATTGTGTATTTTAATATAAAATGACATTTAGATTACGTGTTTGTAATTAACAGATTATGTGTCTGTAATTAACAGATTATGTTAACTACAAGTACATAATATGTCATTAACATATTATATATTTGTAGTTAACAAATTATAAGCTTCCAATTTATTTATATGCATATAATTTAGAGTTCTACTATGCATATGTACTCCCAAATTACTCCCTTACTTTTACTTCCTGAGGTGGCAGACAAGAATTTGTTATTTTCATCATGTGGATCCACAGAAAAAGTGTCTACATCAAGAATATGTGAATAAAAGTTGGGAGTATAAAATAAAAATCCACCAAGTATTTTTCTATAATTTATTAATTGAATGCACATAATAGGTTAACTACAAACACTTAACATGGTTTACGATATGTATATAACAATTAAATTTTGACCCATCAGTTTTTGACAATATACATTAATATATATACTCTATTCAATTTGAATTCATTTTATACGTACAATAGGTTCATTATAACGATATTAAAGTATCATTTTAATTTTATTATGATTTATTTGACAATATACATATTTATAACGTGTTACATCATTGATTCACAGTAACGCCGCTATATTAGATCATGGTTCATTCATACAGCCGCATAGTTCATGGTCAATATATAATAAGGAGTACAATGTTATTTTAGCCTTTTAGTTATTATATATATAATTTGTTTTGGTCAAATATATATTATTATTATATTAAAAACTTGAAGCACATATACATATATATAGGTGGTGGCTTTGGGAGTGGTTATATTGATCTAGGTGGACTACAAGTGTGCCAAATTTCAAATTTGAAGAAAATATGGAGGAGCTATGAAGGAGGGCCTAACAATGTTGGGGCAACCATTTTTGAGCCTTCTTCAATCCCAGATGGATTTTGCATGCTGGGTTCTTATGCCCAACCCAACAACCAACCCCTCTCCGGTTGGGTTCTCGTCGGAAAAGACAACAACGGCGAAATCCTAAAGCCCCCAACCGATTACACTCTTGTATGGAGCAGTGACTCTTTGCCCATCACCCAATCCGGCCCTGCCTACGTTTGGCTACCAGTTCCACCGCAGGGTTACAGTGCCGTTGGCCATGTCGTCACCACCTCGCTGGAAAAACCCTCCGGCGACAGAATCCGGTGCGTGTTCTCCGCCTTCACCGACCCGTGTGAGGTTGAAGATTGGGTCTGGGGACGAGGCACATCAAATAATGACCCAAATGGTTTCAATCTTTACACTCTAAGGCCTATCAATAGAGGCACACAGGCAAAAGGTGTAAAGGTAGGCATTGGAGCCACAATGGGGACACTGAGGAAAGTTGTCCCACCCCCATTCTAGTTTATTTATATATATTAAGAATAAGGATCAAATAGGCCATTCAATTGCACACAATAATTTAATTAGGCTACTGAATTTAAAAAATTAACAATTGGGTCCCTAAATTAACCAATTTCAAATAATTCTTCCAATTTGAAGGTTTCCAACAGGTTAAGGATGACATGTTGACCTGTTGGAAACCTTGAAATTGAAAGAATTGTTTGAAATTGGTTAGTTTAGGGACTTAATTGTTGATTTTTTAGGTTCAGTGGCCTAATTGCATTATTTGAATGGCCTATTTGACCTTATTCCTATATATTATATGTACAGGTCACATATTTAACTTATAAATATTAAATTTAACTATTAATTTAGATGGTAAGATATCTAGTTTTCTCTGACAAAGATTTCTGGATTCGTTCCTGAAGGTAGGAACATTTCTTGGGAGTTTCAGTGGAAACGTGGGAACATTTGCATGTCTGAAAAACAACAATGTAGCATTCTCCTCGTCGGCCATGCCAAACCTTAGCCAAATCGAAGCGTTGTTTAGGGAATATTCTCCGATTTTATACCTGCACCCTCTAGATACCTACCATCCCTCCTCGGTAAACTGGTTTTTCTCCAATGGTGCGTTATTGTACACGAAAGGAGACGAGACTAATCCTGTTCGTATCGGGCCTGATGGCTCCAACCTCCCACAGGGCGGCACGAATGACGGTGTGTACTGGGTAAACCTCCCCGTCGACAACAACGAAAAGGAGAGGGTTAAGAGAGGAGACTTACAGAGCTCGGAGGTTTACTTGAACATAAAACCCATGTTTGGTGGGACTTTTACCGATATAGCAATATGGATATTCTACCCTTTCAACGGCCCAAGCACGGCCAAACTGGGGCAAATAGAGAGAATCCCACTGGGAATGATAGGCGAACACATCGGAGATTGGGAGCATTTGACTCTCAGAATAAGCAACTTCAATGGGGTTCTGAACAAAGTCTACTTCTCGGAGCACAGTGGCGGGTCGTGGGTGGACGCGCCGAATCTCGAGTTCATCAATGGCAGCAACAAGAGCGTGGCGTACTCGTCCTTAAATGGGCACGCGAATTATTCGAAACCCGGGCTGGTTTTGCAGGGGATTGGGGATATCGGAATCAGGAACGACACGGCCAAGAGCGCGGCGGTTTTGGACACCGGACTGAGATACTCCGTCGTGGCGGGGCTGCAGGGAATAGTGGAGCCGCCGTGGGTGAAGTATTGCAGGGAGTGGGGGCCTAAGATTACGTATATAAGTGAGGAGGATATCAAGAGAGTGGAGAGCTTATTGCCGGTGGAATGGAGAGGTGTATTTGAGACATTGATTCATCTTTTACCAAATGAGTTTTTTGGGGAAGAAGGGCCTACTGGTCCCAATATGAAAGCTAGTTGGAGTGGGGATGAGAAGTAAGGAAAATGGAAGTGGCATTAGTGAAGTGAAAGAAAAGAAAATGACCAAAAAAAAATATGTGGCTCACTTTTTCTGGTTTGGATTATGGAGTGTGCTATATAAGTTAAGATAATAATTAAATAAATGGGATTGAAGTAAGAGCATCTATAATAGTAGAGATATTTTGTGATTTGTGAGGAGATTTATTTTGTAAGTGTGATTAGGAAAGAGAATAAGGGAGGAGAGAAAAATAAAAATAAAATAAAATAAGCAAAATTTATTTTAAAATAAAAATAAAAATAAAGGGACTGTCTGACGAGGCTGACACGCGTGTGGCTTCTGCTGTGCAGCCCAAGCTCCTCTAATATTTCTCTTTCCTTGGGAAGAGAAATATCTCAAAGCTTGCCGGAAGAGCGGCTCCTTTCTCTCTCTCTTGCCTCTCTCTCCTCCATGTAAATAAGCAAACCTCAAAAACCATGAATAAACTCTCAATAATCCTCTGATACTGATGCTCTTAGTAGTAGTGTACTTGCTCTTATAATTATTATTAATAAAATAAATAAAAGTGAGTAGTTGTGTACTTGATCTTATTATTATTATTATTATTATTATTATTATCTTAAACTTTTAATTGGACTATAAATTGAATATTGACATTTACCAATTTTTATCTTTGACTTTCAGTTTAACAATAAATTGTGTCTTAACAACTGATTTCTTCCAAATTTGGTCCTCCTGTTAGTATTAATTTAGTAAACATTAAATTTAAAGATAATAATGTAAAAATTTGATTCTTCACATTCCCACTAATGATGAACCATGAACCCAATGTATTAATAATTTAGTAAACATTAAATTTAAAGATAATAATGTAAAAATTTGATTCTTCACATTCCCACTAATGGTAAATCCAATGTATTAAGTTTATAAACCAATGTATTCATTAATTAATTACTTAAAACCTCTAAAAATATCCTTCAAAACTAAATCAAAAGATTACATTGTTTTTTGTGTTTATCAAGTTATACACTTTTTTTATTAGCAAATCAAGTGGCCCACACACTTGTACAGGCTATTTTTTTTTTTTTTTTTTTGAAGAGAAAAAGCATTAGATTAAGTCCGAAGACAAATCATTACAGATGATAGAGGGAGGGTTGGAAGACCACTCCGAGCAACCAGGCATAGAAACAGATTGCTTAGCTAACAAATGAGCAACCTGATTCGCTGATCGTTTTACAAAGGTGATAAACACATGAGATAGATCACTCAAAAGATGTTTAATATCTCTAAGAATTAAACTAAAAGAGGAGTCCCCATTTGTATGATTGAGAGATTGGACAACTAGAAGAGAGTCGGATTCAACATGAACATTGCTGAGATTTCTTTCCTTAAGCCAGCTCAAAGCTTCTCTAATTGCCGCTGCTTCAGCTTCTCTTGGAAGGTAAGTCCCTGACATTCGTGAACCTTTAGCTGCAACAAATTTGCCGAACTCGTCTCTAAGAACATAGCCGAAGCCCATCTTCGCCCGGTTACTGTCCAGAGCAGCATCAATATTTAGCTTCAAAAAGCCCGGCTGAGGAGGTAACCATCTGGTAAGATTCTGTTCTTCTCTTGGAGTGGTGCTTCTGTTTGCAGCTCCTGCTTCCCTCCAGCTAGTGAGAAAAGAATTGGCATTACGAATGATCATGGCCGCAGGTTGTGGGTTTTTATTATGCCAAATCTTGTTGTTTCTTTGGTTCCACACCTCCCAACAACACATAATAAACATGCAGATTTGTTCGGAGCTGAGGGAGGAACATATCCCGTCCATCCATTCCCAGAAAGTTTCATTATGTAGATGAGTCAGATTAATGTTTAGGGCCCTCCAGCAATCAGAAGCTAAAGAACAATCCATGAATAAGTGTTCAATTGATTCATGTCCATTGTTGCATATACTACAAATATCATCACACTCCACTTTTCTCTTCCTTAGTAAGTCCATGGTGGGTAAACACTTGGAACAGAGCTGCCAATAGAAGAGTCTAACCTTTAGAGGTAATTTTAGTTTCCAGAACTTGGACCAAATCAGTTTGTCCTCATCTCTAAGATCACCCCCTAGAGCCTCATAACAGCTTTTCACCGAGAAACCCCCATTAATCTCAGGCTCCCATATCAGTTTGTCATCAACTTGATGTCTAGATAGAGGTATATTCAAGATTAGATCTGCATCTCTTGGTGTGAAAATAGTGTGAATGATCTCCTCGTCCCAGATGATTGACGACTCGTCAAGAAGAGAATTCGCAGTGGCATCTTCCATAAGAGGATAAGGAGGAGAAATCACTCTTGGATTGCTTTTGTCAGGCAACCACTTGTCTTTCCAAATATGAATTTTGTCCCCTTTGCCGAATCTCCATCTTGTGTGCCTCCTAATAATATCCTGAGTATTGATTAAGCTGGTCCATATGAATGAAGGGTTAGAGCCACTGCCTGCCTCAAGAAAGGTGGAGTTAGGATAATATCGAGCTTTATATATTCTGGCCACAAGGGAATTTGGGTGATGAATGAGTCTCCAGGATTGTTTGCATAGCAAAGCCAGATTAAAGTCCCTTAGTCTTCGAAACCCAAGGCCTCCCCACTGCTTGGGAATGCATAAGCGATTCCAACTCTTCCATAGAATCCCTTTTCTGTCTCTACCTCCTCCACGCCACCAGAAAGCATTGAAGGCTGTTTCAATCGATTTGATGATGTTCTTAGGAAGCAAGAACACCCCCATAGCATAAGAAGGCACTGCTTGTAGGATGCTTTTCAAAAGGACCTCTCTCCCAGCCCTGGAAAGGAACCTGTTGTTCCACCCTTGAATACGATTCAGAACTCTGTTTTTTATAAAGCCAAAAATTTGACTCCTATTCATCCCCACAAGCATTGGTAGGCCAAGGTAATTGTCAACCCCTCCCATAGTCTCGACTCCTAGAATCTGTCCCACAGCATGTCTCAATTCTGGTCTGACGTTTCTGCTAAAACAAAGAGAGGATTTGGCACAATTGATGATTTGCCCAGAAGCCATAGCATAAGAGTCCAAAAGAATCTTAAGGTTTCAGGACTCTAGAAGATTGGCTTTAAAGAAGATGTGGCTATCATCCGCGAAGAAAAGGTGAGACATCGAAGGGGCTGTCCTAGCTACAGAAATCCCATGAATCAAACCCCGATTTTCATACTTCCTGATCATCGCACTAAAGCCCTCAGCCACAATTAGAAACAAATAAGGAGATAGTGGATCCCCTTGTCTAAGGCCTCTCTCAGGACATATAGGACCAATCTCATCTCCGTTGTTCAAAACAAAGTACTCCACTGTGGACACACATTCATAAATCAGATTGACCCATCGTTCCTCAAAACCCATTTTCAACATGATATTACGGAGAAGAGGCCATTCGACTCTATCATACGCCTTACTGATATCTAATTTGAGAGCTGCAAAACCATCTTTTCCTTGAGTTTTCCGTTTCAGGAAGTGTTGCATTTCAAAAGCTACCATAATATTGTCAATTATGAGTCTGCCTGGCACGAATGCGCTCTGGCATTCTGAGATCAGACCAATCAGAATTGGTTTAAGCCTATTGGCTATGGCCTTGGTCAAGATTTTATAAGCTACAGAACAAAGAGCTATCGGTCTCAAGTCCCTCATGGTTTCAGGGTCAGATTTCTTGGATATCAGCACGATGTGGGTTTGATTAAGCTTAGTTGGTAGTCTGCCAGTTCTAATGAACTCATTACATAGCCTCACAATACTTTCCCCAACAATACTCCAATAGTTCTGAAAAAAGCCGGGGTTTAGACCATCCATACCTGGGCTCTTGTCCGGGTGCATACTGAAAGCGGCCAGCTTGACCTCCTCTCGGGAAAAAAGTCGAAGAAGGGAAGTGTTCTGGGCACTTGTGACTGTAGAATCAATGCATTGAAGCACCGGAAACTGGTCACCCTCTCCACTCTTGAACAGATCCACGAAATAGGATTTTATGACTTCATTGAGGTCGTCTCCTTAGTTCACCCAGTTGTTGTTGTCATCCCTAAGCTTCTGAATATAATTATTTCTTATCCTCTGTGTGACTGAGTTGTGAAAGAAACTGGTGTTGGAATCTCCATCTTTGAGCCAGAAAAGCTTCGCTCTTTGTTTCCAGAAAGTGGATTGTTGATCGAGCAGCCCCAAGAAAGATTTTTGGGCCATCGAGAATTGGAAAATTCCTTCATTATCAGTGCGGTGTCTGAGAATATCCATCTGCCTTCTGCAAGTTTCAATCCTAGGTTGAAAGTTTTTGTGGAAATCCCTCCCCCATCTCCAGATAGCAAGCCCGCATACTTCAAATCGAGAGTTGAGATCAAGGTATCTCGTATTCACCCAGCTATTGTTGAAAATTTCTCTGCACTGTTCCTCCTTAAACCAGTAATTTTCAAACTTGAATCTCCTTTTTTTCGTTGCCCGGATCGAAGGGATGGGCCATAGTGCAATAGGAATATGGTCACTCATAGGTGCTTCAAAGGAAATTGCTTTTGCCTCCCCAAATAAATCCAGCCATTTATCATTCGCAAGAATTCGATCAAGCTTCTCACGAATCCAAAACGGAGTTCCTCTGCTCTTCTCCCATGTGTATTGGTAACCCTCGAAGCTGACATTTCTCAAGCCGCTGTAATCGATTGCTTCCTTGAAACCTTGGAAGAGCCAATTTGGGTGAGGACGACCTCCAATTTTATCACTGGGAAGGAGAAGATCATTAAAATCGCCCATAGTGAGCCAAGGCAAATTGTTTACACTAGAGAGATGTTTTAGCAAATCCCAGGAAGATTTACGTCTCCCCCATTCTGGACACCCATAGAAACCTGTAAACCTCCAATCTGATGTGCAATTATCCAGTTTGACAATAGCGTCAATATGATTATTAGAGAAACCAGCAATAGATACATCTATATTCGCATTCCAAAGAAGAGCTAAACCACCCTTCGATCGAAGGCTATCAACAGTGAGACAGCTTTTAAAACCCAACTTTAATTTAATATCTTCCATCTTACTCGTACCAAGACGTGTTTCCATCAGAAATAATAAAATAGGTTTCTTGGCGTGGATCATGTCCACAAGGACTTGAACCGTCGCGGGGTTGCCAAGCCCCCGACAGTTCCAAGCTATGAAACTCATTGAGATGGGCAGGCCTGTGAAACAGGTCCCGCCTCTAGCAAGTTTTTTTAGAGACTTGAGTAAACCCCAACACTGTCCATCTCTAAATTTTGGTTCTGAATTGTGATTTCGAGTCCCTTTCTTTTTTTTCCTCTGTTCCATCCCATTAAGGTTATCGATGTTGGGCCCAACAGCCAATGGGCTTTGCAAGTTAGGCAAAAACATTGAAGCTCCCTTAAACACATCTCTAGAATAAACCGCCTCGGTTGGATTACAATTAAAGCCTTGGTTGAAGGGCAGCTTGCCTGGCCCCGGTATTCCCATATGACTTTGGAGACTACTTCCAGCTGTTATCGCAGGAGAATTAAATGCGCATTCAATGTCGTTGCTGTCTACTGCCATCTCTTTCTGGGTATTGACATTCTGAGTATTGCCCTGTGGATAAAAGCGTTGCGCATGTTCCTTTTGTCCAGAAGGTACCTCGTACCTCGGGTCTCCCGTCTGCTGTTGATCTAGGTTTACGTTGGTGGTCGAGGTGTTTTCCGGCGAGGTGCTCCGTTCTGGCCGCTGCGACAGTAGCCACCTGTATGCTTGCTGGTTTTGCCGGCGGTTCGCCGCTCTGAGTTCAGGACCATACAATCGTTCCACTACAGCTTCCTTGGATTCAAAATCCTTGATACAAAATCTTTTGCTATGGCCGATCAAACCACAAATAAAGCAAAAAGTGGGTAGTCTCTCATACTTACAATCCAGACTCAAAACCTCCCCTGCAGCATTCTTCAACTTGATTCTTTGCCGTAGAGGCCTTGATGTATCAATGCGGGCTCTTATTCTTATGAATTCTATCCAAGTTCCATCATAGTTTGAAACATCAGCTTTGACAAATTCCCCAAGTTGGGCTCCTAAGAACTCCGCCACCTTAAGATTGATCATTCTTTTTGGTATTTTGTGGATTTGCACCCAAAACTCTGCCTTGGAGAGATCCACCTCAAATGGAGATTCATTGTCTTGAAGCTGATGCAGAATGAGAAGGTGTTGTTCAAATGACCAAGGACCCTCCTCCTTCACTCTGCGGATGTCCTTCTCGTGAAAAAACTGGAAGATGAATAAGTTTGAGGCAACTTCCTTTGCCATCATCCCCTTTACTGGTCTCCATATGGTTGCCATGGTTTCCTTCAGGAAAGTAAACTTCACAGCTTTGTCTGTTAAGAGAGTGCCGACCAGTGTGAACACTCCGTCATCATGAGTGTTCCAAGCTTCCTCATCAGCAAAGGCATATCAACCTCCACATCGTCCTGGATACTCATCGATGCATACTGTGACTCCAGGGGTTCTTTTCCGCGGCTGCTTGACGCCATCAAGTTGAGTGGGAAAGAGAGATAGCGGGTGTGATGCAAAGAGATTCAACTGTTCAAGAGAAAGACAGTGAACAGCTAGCGACTGAATAGGGACTTAAAAGCATGGAAAAAATCACCAGAACACTAATATCACGGATAATAAAGAATCAGCCAACAACCAGCATTCAATACCAAAAATGGTTGGTAGGAAACATAATAAATAAACCCCCCCAGCACTCCAACAAACGGTAAAAACCGAAAGAAGAAAAAAACCTCGTAACAATACAAGAGACAAAAGCTTGTTAACTAGAACAAGAGGAAAAAAGATGACAAGGAAAACGATTAACCGGGCTGGAGCAGATTTGTTGTGGAAATGCTTCTAACATGGCAATATTGTTTGTACAGGCTACTAGCTCTCAAGTTGATTATCAAATCTGGGGTGGGAACCCCACGTCCTCACCTCATTGTATTCACAATTTTTTTGAGTTTTAATAATAGTTTCGTTGGTTGGTTTTCAAAAAAAGAAGTGTAGATTTGCAAAAACTGGCAACAAGTTCAAGATATAATATTCTTTTAATACATTTTACAAGAATAAATGTCGTATATATGATCTCTTATGTAAGAATCATAAACTCATATCACTAGACTACAAGACCCACATGATAAATGGTTTAATTCACTAGCCTACACAGCTAGTGTCAAAGAGTTTTGAGTCCCAAAACCCAAAAACATTATTGGGAGGCAGATGAAGTAGAAATTTCATTCATGTTTTGCAGTATGTATGATGATGCATAGGCCATCAAGTTACCATATGATTATATGAAAAAAGAACATACATCACAGCCATATCAATATATCATCATAAGATCCAACTTGTGCTTCACTGCATCAAAAGCTTTGAACATGACAACAAATATAGTAGTAGCATTCCTTAAAGATCTGGCATGCCTTTTCCAGTTTTCGGGTCATATGTCTTCTCCAAGACATCTTCCAATGGAGTGTCCTTCGGCCCAGCTACACAAAAGAAGCAACATAAAGCCAGAAAAAACTGCATTAGACACATCAAGTAACACAAATTCGACTATGCAATGCTAATACGCCATATTGCTTGATTTAAGGAATATAATGTTCTTTTACAAATGAGATTATAAGGAGTAGCTTAAGAAGACGTGCTAGTAAGGACACTTTATTGGGATAAAAACAATTGCACCCGTAAAATGCATCCCCATCAGTGGTTTTTGAGAAAGCCATGTTGAAGTGGAGGAGAGAGAGAGCGAGGTTTTGTCAGCTCTGTGGGCCCCACTAAGAAAGAAGACAAGAAACTCTGCCTTGCGCGAGGCGCAAATCTCGCGCACACGCCCGACTGGGCACGTAAATCTTTAATTTTTTTAATTTTGTTTTTTGCTTTTTTTCTTTTTTCCCTCTTCTCCCATCTTCTCTTACCTAGTCACACCTGCAAAAACTCTTCAAAAACTACAACTATTGGTGATGCTCTAGGCTCGGTGTACATTCAACCCTTAACCCTAGCTAGTCGAGACAATGATTTCAATGAGCCAAGTTGTACCAGTAAAAAAGTACCACAAAAAACTACTTTCCCATGTCATCTCATACCAAAGATCTAAATAAACTGTCATGCTTGCAGCCAATCTACCATTGTTCTCCCCTTTTATTCTTGCTTATTAAGTGAGTAAAGAGATTCTGTTCTTTCACATCTAGCTCCTCTCCAGACAAGTTGTTCGCTACCTTATCAATCAATTTTTTCAGTGATAAAAACCAAAAGTTTGTATACTTTTATTTCAAGTTTTCCATTTTCCTTTTACTAATTTTTCAAATTTAAGGGTTTCAAAATAGTGTTTCAGGTTTGAAGGTTTAATCTTTATACTTTCACCTCACAAAATAACATTTTTTGCTATCACTGACAAAATTATAAATTTATATATAGGGAAGAATAAAATGATGGTTAGCAGTTTTATACTTTTATTTCACCTTTGTATGCAAAGTGTTAGCAGTAAAACATGCCCCTTTCAAGACTTCCCTTAGGAGATGTTCAATTGCAGTTTTCTTCCTAACTAATGTCACAGTATCAGTTTGAACCTCACTAATATACATCAATCAACAACTTATTCCAATGGTTCATACTGGAAAAGAGTGCCTGGATTTTTAAGTTATGGTCATCCTGAATTTTCAAATGATCCATATAGATTAACCATTCTATTAAGGAGTTAATGCCATATGGGGTCCTCCGAGTATAATGGTTTTGCCACGTTTAGTCCAAAACTTTCAAATTGACCACCGGTGGTCCTTCGACTTTCAAATTGTTACCATCCGTGGTCCAAGTTAACCACCCATGGTCCTTCAACTTTCAAAATTTAACCAGCTGTGATCCTCTTGGAAAGACCATGGATGGTTAACTTGGACCACGGACGGTAACAATTTGAAACTCTAAGGACCACGGGTGGTCAATTTAAAAGTTTAGGACTAAACATGGCCAAATCACTATACTCAAAGGACCTCATATGGTATTAACTCTTCTATTAAGTATTAAGATGAGTGCGATTCTTGCCTCTAAATTCCAGGACCTAAGAAGCATGAGCCTTAAAACTAAAGCATAGAATAGCTTGAATACATTTCCCTATATGCAAAAACAGATGGAATTTGAACTTACCAACTGATGGTCTTGGTGTAGTCCTTATCTTCAAGATCTCAGGACGAGGAATAATGGAGCCTGATGTTCCAATACCTCTGGAAACTCTTACTTTGGTGCCATCTTCCAAGTATCTGATTCCAACTTTGCATGGTTGCCTGCAAAAGCCAACATTAGCTAACAGGACTCGATAGTAAAAGGTGTTTAGACAACAACCAATGTATCCATACCCAGTCACTGGATCTAGAACCTGCACATTAGAGACATGCAATGGGGCTTCAACTGTAAATATCCCACCTTCATGACCTTGCCCTTGTTTAATATGCTTTTTTACCTGCAGAACACGCAAATGGTTCATGTGACAAGAGGCATATAAATATAAGAATACCAAAAAGTACAAACATGTGGCAACATCATAATTCTGGTAAGAAGATGGTTAATGTTAACACTAGTGTTACTGCAAGTAAAATTGCACATTTATGTTTATATATTTTATATGCTCAACACACCCCCTCACGTGTGCAAGCCAATTACTTTTGTTGGTGGCATAAGGTTGGCTCTACTACCAAATTTAAGCATGTGTTCCATCTCAGCTAAAAGCCTAAGCTGATAGTTGGATTGCACATTTATGTTTATATATTATATGCTCAACAAGAATGACTAAATTATCTCTATGAAATTCATGCTTCATCGAACAAGAATGACTAAATTATCTCTATGAAATTCATGCTTCATCAGAGTTACAAATAGGAGCTAGGAATAACCAAAATTCGCTACTTATAGATTTGTCAGCTTCCTTTCTGCTATTCCAATTCCTGTCAATTATATGCTTATGGATACAATATCATGCGCTTAAGGAGTTATGGTGAAAGCGGAAAAGGGCTGCATAACTAAAGTCACAATTTTTTTTTCTGAGATTCAAAAGTCTAACCAAAGTCACCATTTTTTTTTTCTGAGATTCAAAAGCCTAGTACCATAGAGAAAAAAAATTTACTAACCAGGTTTTTGCCCTCCACAATAACACGATTCTGTGAACGTACAACACGCTTAACGATTCCCGTCTCACCTTTATCTTTGCCTCTAATTATCATAACCTGGAAAATAACAACTAACAAATTGTCACAATTTATTTTCAAATGCTGTAGAAGCTTGCAGGTGGCATGGGCAATCAAGGATAGTGACAAACCAATTCTAGAAGACTTCATTCATGAGTTTTTACTTACATTATCACCTCTGAGAACCTTCCAGTGATGTATGAGTTTCTGAGCAGCCTTCCAACCCATTATCTGTGGGTAACATTTCAAAATCTCCAACCATATCAGGAAAATGTCATAGATGCACAAATTCATTACTAAATATCATAAAAGCTTTTAAAAATTATACTAGAACTCTAGATTCTAGAAGCTCTTCCCCATAAAACAAGCTAAACTTCAAAATTCATAATGCCACATTGCCACCTATCCACAAATCAAATCATAAAGGACAAAAACAATTTTGATGCGCCCAAATGGAACCCAGACTGAAGTTTCAGAATTGTAATAAACAAACGAAAATACGCACTCAAACAGTAGCTAAACCCAATGCTTAAACACATGAAGAAATCAAGAATAAACCAAAAACCGAACCTTTCTACACGAATGGTTAAACGAATCTGCTGATTTCGGCGAGCGAGTTCAATGGAGGGATTGCAGAGGTCACGGAGGGTTTAACCCGGGAAGAAAGATGGGGTTTTTAAGTTTGGGTTAATTGCACAAACCCCCAAGAAACTTTTCTTGAGATCACATTCAACCCCCGTAGTTCCTAAATATTATATTGACACCCTTATTCGAGTTTTATGAATTGTATATACCATGTGAATATGTGATCATATAAATTGACACATCAATTCTTATTAATCCAAATCTTCATTTTCAATATAATGCGGGGTTAAATTAGAGAAAGAAAATTAATTAATTAATTGGATTCAAAATAATTGATATATTAATTTATTATTAGTTGGTATATATAATGACACGATATCCTGAGATACCTAATTCTATAATAATAATAATAATAATAATAATAATAATAATAATAATAATAATAAAGTAATACAATTTGCATCCTTTAATTTTATATTCTTCTACGCTTTTTTAAATACTACTCACTCTATTACAATGTGTAACTGTTATATAAAGCGGATTTATTTTTATACATGTCTTCAAGTTGAACTAAATTACAATATTTAATATTTAGCATTTAAGAGTATAAATAAATCAAAACATTTTTATATTTCTTGTGAAGGTAAATCAAACATCAAACATTATTATATAAAAGTATGTAAATTTTAAATTAAAGTATAAAAATAATCTCTTTTTTTTCGTATAAAATAAGATCGATACAAAAAATTAAGTAATTATTTAATCAATTTTACATTTAGTTCATGACTATAATGTGATGGCATCTTCAACGGCCGGAGAACCCCGGTGAAAGACAAGTTAGATTGGCTAGCCCACTATGACTTGGAGGTCAAAGCTGCGTTTTCCAAGCGCATCCATCCGGAGAAAGGAACAAGGCGGAACCAAGTCAGGTGGGGTGGAAAAAACCAAATAGCGGCTGGTTCAAACTCAACATCGATGGAAGCTGTAAGGGCAGCGGAGTGGCAGGCTGCGGTGGTCTCATCAGAGATGAACATGGGGATTGGCTTGGAGGTTTCACTGTCAACATAGGACGTTGCCAAGCTTTGGAAGCGGAAGCATGGGGACTTTACCACGGTCTGCGCATGGCGAATGCAAATGGGGTATCCAAACTCATAGTTGAGTGTGACTCTAAGCGCCTCCTGGAAAATTTCCGCGGGTCGAAGAGTGAGGCAGATTTGATAACAACATTGTAAGGAGGTGTGCACGGGAGATCGTAAGGTTGAGCGAAATTCATTTCAACCACGTTTTCTGAGAAGGGAACAAGGCAGCAGATTGGCTGGCTACGGCGGCGCTCGCCCATCAGATTGGTTACCGTGCGGTCCACGATGCGCCTCCGGAGCTGAGTGACATTATTGGTCACGACAAGCTGGGAGCTTTGTTTCCCAGGCGTCTTTGATTTTTTGGGTACCCCCTCCGTTCTGATGAAAAAAATAATGTTTAAAAAAAAAAAGAATTACAAGGAAAATAGTCAAATAAGTTCTTGAACTTTATGCGAGAAATCAATTAGACCTATGAACTTTAAAAAGTAACAATTGAAATCATCAACTTATGATTCTTATGTATTCAAATCTAAATATAAATTGTTTACTTGTAAATGCAAGTAATTTCTTACATGACGTCTGACGTGTTATTTTTAAATAATAAAATAAAAAAAAATAATTAATTATTTAAATTTAATTTTAAAAAAAAAAATCCTTCCCGTTAAAGGCTACCAGCCTACCATGGTTGCCTTCTTCCCTCTTTCATCTCCCGATCTGGAGACAAAAAAATAAAAAGATTTTTGGACACTTAAATCCTTAGTGTATCCTGACTTAACTTAAAATTTCCTAACCTAAAACTCCATAAACAATTTGTGCCTTGAGGTTTCTTGATATAAAAAAAATCTAATAATAAATAAATAAAAATTAAAAAAAAAAAAAAAAAAAAAAACTTTCACTCTCTTTCTACTTACTAGAGTATTGCCCCTAGATCATTAATGCTATCAAGGACTATATATATATGGTCTACAATTCATATTTGGTTTCTAAATTTTGGTGTAAGACATTTATGTAGAGTGTAAACACAAGTGGAATGTGATACTATTGAAAATAATAGGTAGGAATCGAAAAATGACACTTTTTCTCCTTGTGTTATATACTCCTTCCATTGACGCTCAATTTCATGACCTCACATCTGAGGAGAAAGTGCTTGGCTAGACATATTTACCTTTTTGATACCTGACTTCACCTTTAATTTTTATCCTGCTTAGTTTGTATTTGATTCTTAGCATTTGAGTGAATCACGAGGAAAGGGCAAGCAGCCTAGCCTACTATACGGGCACTGCTTGCATTTGATCCGGCCTAATTCTGATTGCATATTTTCCTCAGCTCTCATTCAGGTTTTTCACTATACTACTCCATGCATTAGTGAGTGGAGTTTATCTTTTCTTGGTTTTCACTCTGATATAAGCTAAGAATATTATTAAACAAGGGAAAATCAACATTTCGCTCCCTCAATTGTTTCCCAACGATCAATATAGTCACTCGTTTTTAATTTCAGCCAATTTATCTTCGAATTGTTTAAAATTTTGTTAATTAAATCTGTTTAGGGATCAAATTGACAAAATTTTAAAGATGTGAAAATCATAATTTTGATCCTTAAAAGGGTTTAATTCACAAAATTTTAAACAATTCAAGAATCAAATTGGTTGAAATTAAAAAGTAAAGACTATATTAACATTTGAAACATAATTGAGGGATCAAAATATTGATTAACTCTATTAAACAATATAATTACTGCAGTAAGTTTTTATTCTATTTGGTTATGTTTGTATGGTAAAACATTTTAGGTGATCGAATACTAGAGCAAATGCAGATACTGTTGTTTTAAGAAAGTTGGGTCTTATTTCAAAAAAGAAAAAAGAAAGTTGGGTCTTTTATCAAAGTTTAGAGAAAATTGCATATTTAGTCCTTGAGTTATAACCAAGTTCCGACTCAATCTCTAAGTTATGCTGTATCCGAGTTTAGTCTCCAAGTTATTAGTGAAGTGACGAGTAGTTATTAGTCAAAGTAAGTTTTTTTTTTTTTTTTTAATAGAATTGAAATATTGAAATTTGATTTTTAATTTTTTAGAAAAACGGGAGTAGGGTTTATTTGTCGATTCCATACGAAACTTAGAGCTTTTGTCGATTTGGGTGAAAGTATTTTGGCTAAGTTTATAAGTTTTGTTAAGGAATTTACTTCTTTATTCCTGGAATTAACTTTGTCAACACACCACTAGTGTCAAAGACCAAACTCGGATACGGCCATAACTTAGAGACTGAGTCAGAACTTGGTTATAACTCGGGGACTAAAGATGCAATTTTTTCTTTTAACTTAACAATTTCTAGCAATTGTATACAAATTAAACTTCCTTGGTGGACAAGTATTTTGGAATATTAACACCCTTTGACTTTGCAATATATGCTGTTTTCTTCCAAAGCAAGGTTCTTACATACTATACCAGCTGGAACTTAATTGGATTTAGTCCACATCTTCACCTAATTCCAATAAGCTTCTGATGAAAGCTTAAAACTTGCATTGGCTCCTATAAAAGCCCCCCCAGAATGTCATATATGCAACAAAAAACAGACCATAAAAGCCTCTTCTTTCTTCTCCCCAAAAAAGCAAGAGTCTTGACAAAATGTTTTCTCTTGCAGATATGCCCTCAACAGCTTCAGTTTTATCAGCCTACACCGCTTTCACAGCCTTCGCGGTCCTAATGAGGACCGTGTTGAGCGAGCTGCAAGCCATGGCCAACCAGCTCGTGCCCGGGGGGATCCGGGACAAGGTGTTGTCAAAACTTGGAGGCCTATTCTACTGCAACTTCACTTCCCAAGTGAGTTTGGTGATTGATGAGTACAATAATGGGCTTACCCAAAACGAAATATTCGAGGCTTCTGAGGTTTATCTGGGCACAAAGCTCAGCCCCTCAGCAGATAGGCTCAAGATCTCAAAGGCACCAGAGGAGAAGGCCCTCTCATTCATCATCACCAAAGGGGAGAAAATCATTGATACATTTCAAGGCATGGAGTTCATCTGGGAACTGAAAGTCTTTGAATCTCAGAATCCTTCCTCAGAAACTATGGAGCATAGATCATTTGAGCTTAGCTTCAACAAGAAATTTAGAGAAATGGTGTTCAAATCATACATACCATTTGTGCTGGAGAGATCAAAGGCCATAAAAGAAGAGAAGAAAACCATAAAGCTCCACTCTCTGGGGAACTGGAATGCAAGTGTTAACCTTGAACACCCATCCACCTTTGAGACCCTAGCAATAGATGGGGAGCTGAAGAAGGAAGTGATTGAAGATTTGGAGAGATTCGTTAGGCGAAAAGATTACTATAGGAGAGTTGGGAAGGCATGGAAAAGAGGGTATTTGTTGTATGGACCTCCAGGGACAGGTAAATCCAGCCTGATAGCAGCCATGGCCAATTACTTGAAATTTGACATCTATGACTTGGATCTTGCCAGCCTATATAGCAACATGGACCTCCAAAGCATACTAGCCACAACCAAGAACAGATCCATTCTAGTGATTGAGGATATTGATTGCAGCATTGAATTGCAGAACAGGAATCTTGAAAACACTCACAACCAGGGTGATCAAAGTCAGGTATGCTAATAATTAAGCATATAGTTGGGAGTAGTAGATTTTATTATTAGTATTGCACCACACCACTAAGAGTACTTGATGTTTGGTATGGGCAGCTAACTCTATCCGGATTGCTGAATTTCATTGATGGACTATGGTCATGCTGTGGCGACGAGAGGATCATCGTGTTCACAACAAACTACAAGGACAGATTGGACCCTGCACTACTCAGGCCAGGAAGAATGGACATGCACATCCACATGTCCTACTGCACTCCCACTGGATTCCGGGTTCTTGCATCAAACTACCATGGCCTCAAAGATCACTGCAGCTTCATTCAGATTGACAAACTTTTGGAAGAGGTGGAGGTGACACCCGCAGAGATTGCAGAAGAGCTGATGAAGAGTGAAGAGGCAGATGTTGCCCTTGAAGGGCTCATCAAGTTTATGCAGAAGAAGAAGAAGAAAACTGCAGAGGGTGATGATGAGGGGAAGAAGGTGGGAAGGGGTATTGGAATCTGCAGTGAGGAAATCAAAACAGTAGCTCAGAAGAGAGTGGTGAAAACAAGAGGAAGAAGAGGAGGAAGAGGAGGAGGAAGGTTAAGAAACAACTTTTAATTAAGGTTAGGTGGGCTGCACAAAATTGTGCTGTGCTGAGATGGAGGGAGGACATAAGTGGACTACTTGATGAAGGAGGGGGGGCAAGGCTGGCACAAGGCCAGTAGCAGTAATTTTGTCCAAATGTCCCCAAGATTTTGGAAACGAGTAAATTGCAAGATGTGTTTTTAAGTGACAAACGAATCTTGTTTACCTTGCATTCTTGTACATGTTCGCAGATCAAAACTATCAATTTATTTTAGATTGCTGATGAGTTGAGTTGTACTACATGCACATGGAGGACATTTATTCATATATTTAATCCATATATTATTTAAAATGATTAATTCTCTATTTGTTACAAATGTATAGTTTTTGGTCTAATAAAACTATTTATAAATAAAGTTAATTCAAACATGTTTAAATACCATTATTATACAATGGATCATGGTTCAAAATGGCATCGTTTCATTTAATGAAAAGAAACTGCAGTTGTTACGTTCTGTGGCACACTCATGTTTTTTAGTATTGTTATAATGAAACTACAGTGTGTATAAAAATAAGGAAAAAATGTCAAATAGGCCACTGAACTTTTACACATTGTACAATTGAGTCATTGAACAAAAAAAAAAAAAAAAAAGTGCAATTAGACCATTAAACATTCAAAAATTGTGCAAATATCATTTTTTTTACAGGTTACTTCCAAGTTTCCCATAAATATAATGTCATAATGTCAAATTATATATAAACAATTATTTTAATTATTATTTTTTTCAAAATTAAAAGAAAAAAAAATAATTTTTTGAAAGAAATAATAGCATTGAAATGTAACAATTAACTCTAACAAATGTTAAATTATTGTGTTTGATTAAAACTCAAATATGTAATATAATTTTTTTTTTTTGTGTTGTATAATTTAAACCAAACATTCCGTGTTGGAAACTCCTTAAAGCTTCAAGGAGCATTCAATAAAGTTGTAGTCACCTTCATAGCGCTCTATCAGCCAATTAGTTGCTTAGTCTTCAAACACATTTTTCACAAGAATATTTAAAGTATGTGTACGTGTGTCTTCGATTTAATTTAAAGTTTCGTTTGTATATGTTGTGGGGTTTGAATTGCTTTGTTTTGTGCAGTTGCTAAGTTGTACTTCTTCAATATGTACTCAATAATGGTGACAACTTACTTTTTTAAGTTTCTTTTAAAAATATAGTCCTTTTTTGTTATATTTGTGAGTTGTATGCATGCCTATATCATGTTGAAATTGTTTTGATTGTTTTGGAAATGGGTCCTTTGATACATTATTAATGACTTTATGATGGGTTCGTGTTGTATTTGGTACATGTTCCTTTACTTGATTTGAAACTCTAACATATTTATAGTATTTATTTAAGGGAAAATGACACTTTTTACCCCTGAGTTATATACTTATAGCACTTTTCCCCTCTCAATTATTTAAGTAAGCACATTAGCCCCCTCAATTATTCTAAAAGTGGTGTCTTTTCCCCCTAATATATTAAATTGACATTTATACCCTTAAAGTAAACATTTTATTTATTTTATTACTCCAACAAATTATTGCGTATACATAGGGATGACCACGGTTCGGTTTGAATTGAACCGGATACTAAAGCAATCGAATTAATAGTTTACGGTTATAATTCAGATCTAGAACCCAATATTTAAATGTCAATTTATTAAAATTATGTATCAAAAATTTGAATCTTGAACCGTGAACCGGCGGTTCCGGATCTGATTCGCGATTTTGAACCGTCTTTATTTTAAAATTTTATTTTTTTATTTTAAAATAGTCTAAATTCAACAATAAATGTATTTTATTTTTTAAGTTCGGAACATGAACCGTCCTTTCCGGTTCAAGATTTTAATAAACTCTAAATATCGAATTTCGATTCTAAATTGTAATTGGAATATTTCGGTTTGGTTACTATAGTGTTTGTTTAGTTTGAACCAAATTATGGTCATAATTTGTTGGAAAAAAAAAATTAAATATTTAATTTAAGGGTAAATATGTCCATTTAACATTTCAGGGGGAAAAACAGCCACTTCAATAATTTAGGGGGAAAAAATGCTATAGGTATATAACTCAGGGAGAAAAAGTGCCATTTTCCCTTTATTTAATTAACAATTATGTCAATCTTGAATTGGTCGGAGTGAGATTCGAATTTGCAACTTTCCTTATGGATAACTTGTTATAATTTAATCTCTTAGTTTAATTTACTTGAATTGGTGTAGTAGTTTGAATTTAGTGATAATGAGATTATTTTTGTCCCAGTGACTTTTAATAATTTAATACTTATTGCAGGTATGTGAGACAATGTAAAATTAGCAGTCCACCATGGGAGAAATTTTGTAAAATTTATGGTTTTTTTTTAGTATTACTAACTTTATTACAATGTAGTATCTGTGATAAATATATAGTGAAGTTTACAATCTACAAAGTGACCCAAATGTGATATCATATCTCATTTTATTTAACCCAAAGTTCAAGGGCAAAGAAACTTCTTCGTGGGGACGATCCTAAAGATAACCTGGATTCAATAATCACAAGTGACAATTTTTCTTGGTCTAGCTCCCATGCCTTCAATTATCACAAGTGACAATTTTCCTTGGTCTAACTCCCATGCCTTTCGGAGTAAACGAAGATTAGTTGGATGGACTCAGAACACCTCGTGATTTACACCAAAAAAATATCCCCATTTAATTTATTATATTGAAGCACATAAGAACATGTCAATATGAAAACATTTAATTTAGTTCATTTTTTATTTCATTTTTTCACTTTTTTTTTTCATTTTTGTTTCCATTAAAAAAATGGTAATGAAATAGAAAACATGTTTATCAAAATGTATTTTTCATATTATTTTCAAATAAAAAATACTAAATTATTTAATATTTTATTATTTTTTCATTCAAACCTACAAATAATATTAGTGATAGGTGACAAGAATACCTATTATTATGGTTGTGTGAGTGTTAGATCGATCGGTTATATCTGAATTTTATCTCAAATACTTAAATAATTTTGAGTGCTAATTTTTTAGTTTTAATTCGGACGATAGAAATATTATCTATAGACGATAATAAATAAAATAATACCAGGTACCTAACCTTTTGAATTCTAATAGGACGGGTTCATATAGTTGATAGCATGGTTTAGAACGGGTTTAGGTAGTAGTGAAATCCTCCTACTCGATTGTGTGTGCATGTGTGTAATAGGTTTTGGAATGACTTCAAGTTGGGGTAGTGGTCAAATTGTTTCAATTCATTCCAATACAAATGTTAAAGAGCTCATACTTATCACTAATTTGACTTTAAAATGATATGATAATCAGATAACCAAAGAACTCTATATTTAAGCGTGCTTAACCCACGGGAAAGTGTGCAACACTAAAATTTAATTGGTTGGCGTAAGGGGTAACAATTTTTAAATCAACAATAATAATTCCCACAAATAAATACAATTATTGACTAAAGTGTTGTCACTAGATCATTTTTTTGTAATAACATTTGGTCACAGAATGTAAATTTATTGTGACCCTTATTGTTATAACTCAAATAGTACTTTTAATATAAGTAAATCTTGTCACAAAAGTCTTGAATAATTGTGACAACTTTCCAAAAGTCGTCACTATTATAATAGTGACGGATGATATATAGTGGCAACGTGTGACAAGTTAAAAACTGGGTCACTAATTAATCGATAATTTTGGTGATAACACACTTGTGTTATCATTAAATGTGAAATTTCTTGTAGTGATATAAGTGTTTACACACAACACCATCATATTGATATAAATACCTTAATTTGAATCCATTATTCTCACTGTCAGAATCCTTGCATTAAGGATTCTACAATACCTTCAACGTGTCATGTTCCTCTAGAAACACACATTGGCTGGAGAGACGGACGGCTTGTCAGCGTCGCATGAAAACTGGTTTTTATTCATCTCTTGTTTGCCACAATTAACCTGGATTTGGTTAGAACCTGCAACAACACTGGTGGGAGCGGGAGGAGAAGACTGTTCGGCTTTTGCTTTCAGTCGAAGTCGCTCTGCCCTTGAGCCAATCACCTGCCCCAATATAGAAGCAGCGATAGTTAGGGCCATAGCGGTCTTGGGCATCACAACGGACTTCCTCAGCATGGCTATGAACGGGACAGCAGCATGCACAGCCACAAACCACGATGGTGAAAACTTCTCGGTGTGCTCTCTCCACACTCCCAGTGGAATGTTAGCAGCCATACCCAAGGCTCCAATGGCAAGCATCTTTGAAGATAAGGGCTGTGGTCGCAGGTTCTTAACCAGGGCGGTCCTTGCAAGGGCAGCTCTCGCTGCAATTACTGCAGCTGGACATTTAAGCTTCATTCCTGCAGGCGGTTGAAGAGCAGTTGCAATAAGTGGGAGGACATGGCTCACAGCTCTGTAAGATTTAGCAATAGGGCAGTTCCCTGCTTCCAACCACTCGTTCCCCATTGCCTCGTGTTTCGATGAATCACCCTGGAAAATGATCGATGAAGATGAGCTCCATTAATTAAAGGGAACTAGACCAGAACTTCTAAAATGCAATTATAAGCAGAATAAATGCAAATAAGTGCAGGTATCACAAAAACAATTTGCTATCACTTAACTTCCATTAGTTTGGTTATGTGACTAGATTACCCTCCGTATGATCAAGAAACAAAAATATAAAAGCACATATTCAAGTAGATCTTCCTCTGCCTCTTCATCATGCCAGTAAGAATTGCATACCAAGCAGCAGAACATATACTAAAAGAGCCTGTAATAAGGCATGCAGACTCCAAATATGATCTAACACAGTAATTAAACTCCGAGAAGAGAATCTAAATAGTGACTTAAGCAGGCAGATAACTTTGCCAAATCCAGCGGAACCTACTTTTACATCATTGTGCAACATAATTCAACTAGTAGTATCAGAATATTAATATAGTTATTCAGAGCACCCCATCACTGTTAGCATCAAAATATGTCAATATAGTTATTTGAAATAATGTTTCTGTAGATTCACAAGCCATTGCAGGCGAACTGAACAAATCAGTAGCATGAAAGTTGTGAAATATTTTAAAACAGATTCTAAGGCAATATTCGATGGAAAATGAATTTCAGTTAAATATTGCTAGAATAGAAGATTAATTTATGGGAATGATCTGATTACTACATACTGTAGATTACCTAACATATGAAGGAAGTAAAATTCAATAAAGGATGAATCATTTCATCTTTTGAGAAGACTTGCACCATGACAAGGCATAGACCTATCTCTAGCACCAAAACACAGTTTTCTCACAGGCCATTTTTTTTGTTCTTCCATAGTACCCTCTCTCCTAGTTTTATACACTTAATAAACATTATATTCAAATCATATTTGCAACAAGTCAGCAAATTGCTAATACTACTAATATAGTGCAGTACAGTTGTTCAAGAGAAAAAAGAAACTGCTGCAGGCAATTATTGCCATTGCATTTAACACTGGTATTAAGTGATTTATTTATTTAATCTTTTATTTGAGTTGTTTAAAAAAAAAAAAATCTTTTATTTGAGTACAAAACTTTCTTGAAGTTAAATGCTCATGAATATTGAAGACTCCAGGCTAAGAGAATGTTAACCAAAAAAAAAATTCAAATCTACCTTAGGTTTAGACTCTCTCTTCTTAGAGTCAGACTTCTTTTTCTGCAAGTTCCACTTCTCAGAAAAATGATTAAAACTAAAAGGGCCTCCTGGTCCAAATGCTGACAAGCTTATTGTGGCCGCTTTTGCAGCTAAAGGATTAAAACAAGGAGTTGGATCAGCTTCCAGGTGGTCTTTTAGACGTTCAGATCTTCCAGACAGTGGAACAACTCCATCTTTTCCATGGAAGAACTTAAAGGCCATATCAAAGTTGGGGCCATCTTCAAAAATGGGACCTTTCTTTCCCTTTTCCTGAAAGCCAATAAAAAGTGTTTTCACTTGACAATATCATACTTATATTAGGGGACCAGAAACACATGTAAGAAAGCAACAAACACTATGCAATAAAAGATATAAATTGGCAGTAGAAGAATTAATAACAAGAACTAGATATCAAACTAACTTACTGGAAGAGGGAAATTCAGAGAAGAGACGAAGGAAAAGTTCGTTGGTTTATCAATGTTCCTCAAGAATGGGCATTTTTGAATGTTCTGCTCACTGAGGGAGCAACCAGCATTCTTTTCCTTCAGTGGCCCAAAGAAGAATTCCATTGATATGTGCTATTAAGAAATAAAATCTGCTAAGAAGTTGAAACATGAGTTTATGGTATACTTGAGACTAATATAATTTGCAAAATCTCAATAGCAATTAGAGACTCAAATTTAGTACACATTAAATGTGAATGCATAGGTGCAACACTAGATTTTAGCATAATTATAGACTGCCGCCTGGGCAGGAGCATCCACTGAAAGTAAATAAACTAAACAAATAAATGTAAAGCATCTGCTCAGGTGCCAGGATGGGGATCAATCTTTATCATATAAAGGGAACCAGGGACTATTCTTTGTGCTCATTATTGAAGATAATAGAGATAACCACAAGGGAATTAGAAAGCAGCTGAAATAAATGGACAAGGGCCAAAATATATAGGTCATATATGGCAACATCTTCAAGAAATTATGAGGTTCATAATTATCACATTGAACAGTTGAGCATAGCTCAGATCCGCATAAACCACAAGGTCCATACAAGGCAAGGGAGAAGAATGGTGACCTTTTCCCTATAGTGCATCTGATCATGTGCCAAGTACAGTTAGCTCAAACAAAACATTTGCCCCACCTAGATAAAGTACTAATCTATTAGGTAGTTTAACTTGCCACAAAGATTAAGAAGTATAAGTTTGAGTATTTATCATAGTTGAATACATAACATATGCTTCTATGAAAAGAATATTCCCAATTACTGCAAGTGACTTATAGGTATTTGTGGCTATCTATAGTCAATTTCTTTATGATGTCCCAAATCAGGAATCAGCTCACCTAAATGCATATGGCAGATTTCCATTTTTATTAATAATGTCCAATTTCTTTTCCTTATTCCCAGAAAATTTTGCAAATAGAATAAGATTAACATGGAATCACAAAATACTCACCTATCTATCACTCTAACATGACATAAAATCCTATATAAGAAACCACATATGTAACTGGATCCAGCTTCTGCCGCAAAAGTTATCAGGTCTTTTTGTTTAGAATTTCCAGACAACAAACCAGATTTTCAACAAACTTTCATATACAAATCAACCGAAATACTCCGTACTATAAGATTTTCATAGTTGAAGGCGAAGTAAGATCAGAACATTTTCAGATGCTTGTCCTGAATTTTTATTAGAACAATCTAGAGAGAGAAAAAAATAGCAAAATAGTTTAACAAAACCACGAAGGAGAAATGTTAAAACAAAAACATGCTTGAATTTGCAAACGGAAATTGAAGAGAAAGACAGGAGCGAGGAGGTTACCGGCAGCGTTAGGTGGTCTCCGGTGGTCCGGTGATGATTTGCGGCGGAGGTGCAGAAAGTGTGGAAAAACGCGTGGCGAGCACAGAGCGCAGCGCATAGAAGGAAAATAGAGGTGCTAACCTGCTCAAGCGGTCAAGTTGTCGTGCTAATTTCGAGCGGGCAGTTGGGCACTGGGGCCAAGAGTGTTTGGAAGTTAGCAACGATTTTATGGTGGGAGGTGAGCGACATCTTTTCAATAATTCAATCAATTTTTATTATGGATCTCAATTTTCCAAACAAAATGCGGACACCCATAACTAAGGCCATCTAGAAACCCAAAACAAGATGTTTGGCATTTCATGTACTTTAATTTTTAATTAATCTATATATAATAGAGAAAAGGTCAAATATATCCCTAAATTTTACTTCAAAAGGTTAATTAGGCTTCTAAACTTTAAAAAAGTCAATTAAATCCTCAAATATGTCAAATTGAGTCAATGAAACCCAAAAATCGTTAAATGACATGTTTGTATATTATATAATATGCAAATAGTATTTTTGGTATTTGTGATATAAAAGCTATTCCCAAGGGCGTGAGAATAGCTATCACCAAGGTCTCCCTATGAATGGTTATTCCCCTTGTGAAGGTAATAGTTCATTCCTAGGCATGTTATTTCCATGACAAAATGATCCTACCAAACGATGGAATAGGTCTATTGCAAGGAATATTATTCTATTCTTAACCTATTCTATGAACCAAAAATGTCATTAGTGTGTTCTAAAATCTGTGGATAAATGGGTTTTGCCCTTAGCGTCTAGGAACCCAAATGGACATCATCACTATTTTTCCCATGGCAAGTACTTCTATTAGTAATAGTGAGCTCAAAGTCGAAATATCAGTGTTATTATTGAAATTAAATAAACACCAATAAAAATGTGAAGCATTTGTAGTTCTCACTCTGGAAGGAAAGACATCTTATATCTCTGCTTTTGCAGGTTACCTTTGGATTCTCCAACTTTGACTTTAAAAAACTGTGCTAGATATTTTTGTTCATTTTTAGACATTTGTTATGCATTGCAGGTTTGATAGCAAGAGGTTTTGTAGAGACTGCATGAAAAGAGAAACTCACTGCACCAGTTGGTTTTGTGTGGCAGATACAAGAATTCGAGTTTGTGGCAAGATCAACCGCTGCACCACCACCAAATCAACCCATTGCAAAATCTTTACTCATCTGCCGCCGGGTTGGGCGTGGGGCTGAGGCGCTGAGCCGAAGCACTGCCGCGTGGATCGACAAGCATTTTAGGTCGCCGGCGTTTGAGACGATAGATGATGCGCAACGACAGAGGCTCCAGTAACGGGTATTAAGCCATGTAACCCACGTTAGAAATTCGGCATGTAATCCACCTAGGATTGAAAAAAAAAAAAAAAAATTACACATGGCAGAATTGGTAAAGGAACTGGACATTTACCTGTTAAAAATGTTAATTGTAACTTTTTTTTTTTTTTTTGAGTTGGTGTATTGATTTGGAGCTTTTTCAAGTTCGATGACATAATTACTATTTTCCAAATAGTTCAATGACTTATTTGTACATTTTTCTATTTTTTTTCATAACATCTATATTTGGTCATAGTATTATTGTGGTATTACTATTTTTGGTCATTCGTCAACAAAATCGTTGAAATGTCGTTAAGTACAAAGGTATTTTGGTCATTTTTATACAAAGTTGTTGAGCATACAATATATATAAAACATAAATGTGTAATCTAACTATCAAATTTCAATTTGGTATCAGAGTCTTGCCAAAGGTCATGTGTTTGAATCTTCTCGCCACCCAATACAAAAAAGAGACTATGATAATCCAACTGGCTTGCTCGGCTTAAGCTTTTATCACTTTTATACAAGTTGAGCATAAAATATATATATATATATATATATATATATATAACATAAAAATAAAAAATAAAACATCATTTTCTTAAAACAGTTATTTAAAATGACGTTAGTTTTCCTAAACCAACGTCATAAAAAAAATAATACTATTACTATTACTACTACTATTATAATTATAATTATAATTATAATTATTATTTTGTAAAAGATATAACATTGATTTCCTTAAAAAAATGACATCATACTGTTTTTAAAATTAAAATTTTTTCTGTAATTATTTACAATGTCGATTAGTTTATACAACTGACGTTAAAATATTTTTTTAAGTTATAAATTTATTTAATCTTTTAATGATGATTTTATTAAACCTGACATGATATTTTATTTTTTAGTACTGCGGTGATCCTATCAATATATTATTAATGACAACGTGTATGAAGAAATTGACAAAACTAACTTAAATCAAATAATGTAATAATATTAGTTAATTGTTACAGTCATTTTTTTGTCCATAGTACTCAAGAAAATTACAGTCATGTTCTTTTAACATGATCGTAAAATTAAAGTTTTAGACTAAAATTCGCGTTGTGTTCAAAAAAAGATTTAAATTCACATTGGGCCTTGCACTATGCACAACGGGCAATTTATATCGTGCACCGCTGCGCACATAGCAATGTGCGCCCAGGCACAAAACGCGTGCATTTCAATTGCTGACGTCACTTCGTCCGTCCAAACGGCCCAAACCTCATTATGTATATTCAGTTAAAAGTTTCTGTGTATTGTGTATTGTGTTATGAGTTTCTGTGTATTCAGTTAAGAGTTTCTGTGTATTCATTTAAGAGTTTTTGTGTATTATGTATCATGTTAGATTATGTGTATTCAATTATGAGTTTCTATGTATTCTGTTATGAGTTTATGTGTATTCAAAACAGAGAATTTTTTTTTAAAACAATACACCAAAACGACATTGTTTTAGGTAGGGCAAGGCGCACAATGCATTGTGCGTCCTGTTGCACGATATAACAACTGATGCGCAACGCGCATGCCCGGCTATTTGATGTGAGAAAAAGTTTTTTCGTATACAGAAATGAAATTTTTAAATAATTTAATATTGCAAAATTACACAATCTTTTAAATATATTCTCAAAACAAAGTCCGGTTCCGCTAAGAATTAAATAATTATCTATAAAACAATAGCTCTCAATATTCAATCACAAATAACTATTACTTCTTCCGTCCCATTTTATGTGTCTCGTTCGGTTAACGATGTTTGACTGTAGTTATTTTTAATTCAATTTTTCAAAATATTAATTTTAGTATATATTAATATACAAAATTTATATATTTATAAATTACACTAAAAATACTATTAAACACAAAAAAAAAATCAAATTTAAAAACAAATAAAAAGTAATAAAGAAAATAAACAAAGAAAAAAGAATTGGTTTGACCAAGAAATAGTAAGTATGACGGATAAAATGGGACGGGAGAGTACATTGCAACTTCCATCAATGTTAGATCATTAGTTTTAGGAAAAATTGCACTTTTCGTCCCTAAGTTATCATTGACGTTGTACCTTTTGTCCCTGAGTTATACTAAAATTGTAAATTCCATCCCTAATCACTACTACATAAATGATATACTACGTCACTTAATAGACAATGGTATTTTAAATAACTATCGTCTAATATATTGTGTTATACTACGTCACTTAATAGACGACGGTTGTTTAAATAACTGCCGTATATAGTTGACATACACGGCGGTTGTTTAACTGCCGTATATAGTTAACATACATCACGGGTCCCAAAACCACCGTAGAAAGTGTATGTTTACAACGGCAGTCACTTACACGCGAGACACTTCGAACACTGCCGTGTATGTGTTAAAAAACGGCCGGTGGTTATTTAAAGTGTATGACATAAAAAAATTAATTAAGGTATATACGGAGGTTATTTAAAATAATATCGTCTATTAAGTGACGTAGTATAACAAAATATATTAGACGTCGGTTATTTAAAAAACTGTCATCTATTAAGTGACGTAGTATAACAAAATAGATTAGACGATGATTATTTAAAAAATCTCTATCTATTAAGTGACGTAGTATACCATTTATGTAGTAGTGATTAAGGATGGAATTTGCAATTTTAGTATAACTTAGGGACGAAAAGTGCAACGCCAATGATAACTTAGGGACAGAAAGTGAGCATGACCAACACTCAGGGACAAATTCTACAATTACTCTATAACTCAAGGACGAAAAGTGCAATGTCAATTATAACTTAAGGACAAAAAGTGAGCATGACCAACATCCAATGACAAATTCTACAATTACCCTATAATATAGGACAAAAAGTGCAATTTTCCCTTAGGGTGTGTTTGGAAAGCTGGAAAATGAGTTCTGGAAATCATTTTCCAAGTTTCCGTTGTTTGGATGTGCCTGGAAAATCAAGTCAACGGAAATCATTTTCCGTTGACTTTGGAAAATAGGCTTGTTTTGGAGGAAAATGACTTCCCCTTTTTTTTTTTGGGGAAGTCATTTTCCAACTTTTACACCAACATCACACCACCACCAACATCATCAACACCATACCACCACCACCTCACTACCACCATCACCACCACTACTGCTGCCGTCGCCACCACTATACCACGGCAACCACCGCCACCACACCACCACCACCACTACCACCACCAACACCATACCACCGCAACCACTACCACCACCACCGCTGCCACCACCACCACCACCATACCACCGCAACCATTGTCGCCGCCACCGCCACCACCATACCACCGCCACCACACCACCACCATCACACCACCATCGCGCCGCCGCCACCACCACCACCACCACCATCACACCACCACCACTACCGCCGCTGCCGCCACCACCACCACACCACCGCAACCACCGTCGCCACCACACACCACCGCCGCCGTCGCCACCACCACCATACCACCGCCACCACCGCCACCACCACCACACCACCGTCGCCGCCACCACCATACCATCGCAACCACCGTCGCCGCCGCCGCCACCACCACCATACCACCGCAACCACCGCCACCACACCACCACCGTCATACCACCACCAATTATTATTATTATTATTATATAACGAATAACACCACTACCACTACACCACCCCCACCACCATAATATTTTTGATATATTATTAGTTATTTTTATTATATTTAAAATTATTATTATATTATTATATGTTATTATACATGTTGTAATATTCTAAATAAAATAATTAAAATGTTTAATTATATAATTCTACTCATTTTCCAGAAAATGAACCAAACACACAAAAACAATTTTTCA